TTACTTCCTCCAGGACGTCTTGGGCACGCCAGGAAAGGAAATTCCCCTGAACTCTCAAATTTTGTTTTCTCTATCTCTTGGTGTATCACACGTTCCACTGCACAATGTTTGTGTATATTTTTAATGTATCCACTATATTAAAAGGCTAGCTGTTTTCATTTATTTTTATCTCCTAATGGTCCCTTATCTGTAACGTAGTGTATCACACTTTATAACAGGCGCCCATCCATGAGTCGAATAAGAGAACGGGTGTCATGGGCAAGTGTAGTCCCAACCAAAGAACGTTACTTTATCTTGTTTTCTTTTTACAGCTATTTTTATTTTTGCTTCTAATATAGTACCTCGAATACGGCAGATGTTCAATAAGTGTTTACTGGTATGATTGTTTAAAATAGTTAATGTCCTTTTAAAAATAACAAAGGTTTATGTAAAGTAATAAAATAAATTGGAAAAGATATTATTCTTTATAAAAGATAAATGTTTTAGGAATTATTAGCTACGAATGAGTTGATTTTGATTAGCTAAAATGAGTTTTATAGTGATGTACAGAGCTTTGATAGTGAATTGATATAGCTTCTGGACTTCAACATACCTTGGTTTGGCCCCTGGCCTTGTCATTCACTATCTGTGTGAATCTGGGCAAATCAGTTAACCTCTCTGAAACTCAAATCCACCATCTGTAAAACAGGGGTACTAACTAACATTAACCCACAGGTTAGTCACATTAAAGGGAAATTTTATACAAACAACCTAAATTACGTGCCTCACTCACAATAAATGATAAGTATTTCTTTTCCTTCCCACTCTCTTTTTTAATGACTTTTAATTTTCTTAAATATTAATTCTAACTAAAATGTATAATGTCTTCATTTTGGTCAAACAAAATTAAAGTTCACATTTATTCAAAATTAAATATGCACAACATAATCCAAACTATGTTTTGCAAAGCACTTAAGAAGAACCTGGTGTTGCTGGTGTTTTGGACATCTGTTTCTTGTTCTTTCTCTTCTCGGAATGGTGCTTTTTTTCTTTTGAGAAAACTGCCCTTCTCCAACTCTGTAGGGGATCAGTGATAATTTCTACAACCTACCACATCCTGGTGCCCTATCCATGGGGGTAGGCATGTCTCCAAAATGGGCCAGCCAGGTATTCTTTAGGATTTATCAAATGGGGGCTGCAGTCAGGGCCTGTCCTTGCCCTGGGAGGAAGCAGAGAATCTTTGAGCGGGGGCATGGGTGACCACCACGGCTTCCTCTTGGAGAAAGTCGGTCTGTGACAACAGACTCATGGGAAGAAGGCTGTCACTCACGCTCGCCTCATGTTTGGTAATGTGGGTCCACATATCAGTCGTGGCGAAACCAGCATGAGTTTGATTTTCACATTTTCAACCACAGTCGAATACAAGCAGAGGGTCACCTAGAATTAGCTGGATCTTGCCTCTTCCCTGCTCAACCTTCAAATTTTAGCGTTGGACCCTGGGCAAAGCACGGTGCTACCAAGTGGAGTACTTAGCTTTCGTCACTGGATAATTTACTGGCTTCTGCTTTGCAGTCATAGGCTGTATCCTTAACTTTGGTCAGAGTTTGGCCAATGCTAGGGTTTTGTACGGGGGAAGACTGGGGAAGTGTGTGGCCAGATCAGTCAACCCTTTAGCATTTTCAGGGGAAAAAAACCCTCAAACAAACTCCTCTAGAGCACACGCTTTGTTCCCAGAGAACCAGTTCGAGCATAGTCAGCTGAAGGGCCACCTGCTGGAAATTCCCCGGCTGGGCATTAAGCGTTGTGTGTCAATGCCACCTCGTAAAACTGAGATCTGGCCTGTTGGAGGGAGCAGGGCGCTCCTGACCCAGATCCTCTGCACGGATTCCTTGGGTCTCAGTTGACCGAGATACCAAGCTGAATAGCTTCTTAAATAAAATAATACATCTTAAATTCAGGGGGATTATATTTCTCTTTTTTGGTCAATTTCCCCCTTATTCCCCTTCCCTCCATATTTTCTCCCTTACTTCCTTCTTTCTTCCAAATAACACTTTTCAGTGACTTTTAAAATGTAGTTTTCACATTATAGGAATATTTAAAATGCAGGGAAAGAAAGGAAATAAGAATCACCTGTATGTAATGCCATCAATCAGAGACACTCCCTATTAATTTTTGGCATATATTCTTCCAACTCTTTCTCTATGAAATAACATTTCAACATAGCTGAAGTCATAATATATACTCAACACCGCGTCCTTTTCGTATTTTCCTTGAACAAATCTAAACATTTCCTGCTATTTAGTTTTTCTCCCTGTTTTTTAGTTTTATAGATAAAGCTGCCATGAACCTCTCAGCCTAACCTCTTTGACGTCATATTTCCGGGGACATAGAGGGTTGATAGCATGTGTGGTGAAGGATTCACACCAAGGTGACTGACAATCCAGCTACTTGACCTCATTTCTGTCTTCCTGGATGCAGAGTAAACTCTTAGGATGTATTAGAATTTGAGATGATCGGACTGGAGATGAGAGCAAGTGCACTTACAGGAGTGGAATCAGATGTCAATATGTCTGATCCCTGAAAAAGTTACTGTTAGTTTCTGGGTAGAAAGGAAATCCAGAAACAGGAAAGTCAGTCCCAGTGGCTAGACTCCCAGTCTTCGTCCACTGCCCAAGCTGAGAGCCTACTGTTCTTTCCAGCAAGAGCCACTGCTCACTTTGCCGCCAGCCGTCTCCTACACAACCTGGAGGACCTGCTTTGTCAAGTAACGAAATAGAAGCCCGGCAGTTTGGCTATGAAGTTAACAATGACTGGTGTTCTCAGTGTTTTAGAAGAAAGGCAAAATACAAAGGAGTTGACATTAAGACGCCATCGTTAAAGGAAAGAGGAGGACGCAATGAACGTGTGCGACTTGGACACCAGTCACCTGCGGCTCCTCTCTTCACCTGGTCAACCAAGGTCAAGTCCCTCGGTCCAGGGACAGTGCACAGACACTCCTGCTTCCTGCCTAAGCCATGGGATTATGCTCGTGACTCCTTACGGCACTTGGCAACCTTTTCGCTGAACTTGTGAAAACAAATCGGATCAGAACACTATGGCATCTTTGGAAGAATGGGGTGGTGAAAACAAGAAATATTGGTAAAATAGTTTATAGCATTCTTTTTTTTAAAAGAGTCAATTTGAAGCTGGCAGAAAGTGCAGATTGTGGAGGTAAAAGCTCCATTTGGCCTTAAGATTTTTCAAGACCTAAAAGCTGTGGGGCTCACACGGGGGAGGGGAGGTTGGAACAGAGCTGACTGGGCATAAAAGCAATAGTCTGAAGAATGTTTGTTTTTATTTTGTATGTCTGAGACTGGAAACTGATAGAACTTTCTGATTTTCCATCTTTGACAGGGTGGAGTTAGTTCCAAATGAACAGTTATCGTCTATTTGGAAAACTCCATCTGTGACAACAGGAATGATAAAGGTTTTCCAAAAAACTTAACACACTCGATGTTAAGTCACACTCGATGTGAGCACAGCCTCACAATCGATGAAACTTTGGTCCTTGTTCTTTGGACTATAATGTGGTCTAAGTGGACTCAGGCATTCACATGGGAGTTTTGAGATGATCTTACCCAACGGTTCTTAACTGGGGGACAGATTAAGAGTAAGGCAGCATTGGGTACATCCTCCTTCTCTTGCTGAGAACTACTGACAGAATCTAATTCTCTTTATTTCAGTGGGAAAAGCAGAGGCCCAAGAGAACAGATTAAATGCTCTAGGTCACTTTGTCAATAGTGGCAGAATAGGGTTGGAATAAGAAAGGACTCTTCTCCTAGGATAGCATCCTTTGCACCTTGCGTCTAGACTCCACGTAGACACTGCAGCAGGAAGCAGACTCCACACCAATGGTGTTGTCAAGAACGTCTTCTTAGCTTCATCTCTGTGACATCAACCCCCAACCCTTGGTGTCTCAGCTTCTGAACCCTTTCCTCGCCCAGGGTTTGGCCATGGTGAAACAGGGTTTCTGTGTGAGATTACAGACAGGTTTTATCTGATGGGAGTGGCTGAGAGCGCCCGTGAGTCCCCATACAACTCAGTAACAGTGTAGATATAACTAACGATGTCTGCGTGTGTGAGGGACAGCAGGGTATTGGCAGTCTAACTTTGGTCTATCCCTCAGCCCCAGAAAATCTTATGTTTCTAGAGACAGGAGATCCAGGATTCTGGAGAGGTTTTTTTTTCCCACCAGAAAATTTCATTCAAGTTTCTCCAGGGGGGTGGGAGCCTGACGTTTTAAAGAGCAAGCAGTTGAGGGTCTAGTGCCTTTATGATTTGTACCAGTCACTCCTCATCTCTTGTTCTTCAGCTGCTCTGACAGGGAGGAGATTAAATAACTCAGAGATGGGTGTTCACTTCAAAGCTGGATGCTCCTATTGCTCCAACCACTGATGTTCCTCAGGAAGGCTGTAAGTTTAAGGAAACACATAAGCAGACTTCGAGCTGTCCGTGATCACCGTGGTAAAGGCAGAGGAGATATGGACATCCGTGGTTAGGTGGAAACTATATTTTCAGTGTTTATAATAATTTTAGGAAGGACTTGTGGAAATTAGTCCACTAAAATGTCCACTGAGCTGCACATTTATGTTCATGAAGCTTTTATATATGTCACATTTCAGTAACATTTTTAAAAAATAGTTAAATGGGCATTTTTCAAGAGGCAGGAAAGTCAACACTCATGTTTTGGATAGAAATTCCCCCACTTTCATGTTTTGTTGGAACAAATAAGGATTTTGGAAGTGCAGCTCTTTTGTAAAGTATCAAGGAATGGAACTCACTAAACTAGCTGACAGGACAGGAGAAGAGAAGGACACAAGAGCCGTAGAGACGGGCTCCTCTCCAGGACGGGGCGGTCCCCTCCCAGAACTCCAGCGAGCTAGGATCTCAGAAGCATGTCCCTTGGAGGCGCCGCAGCCTCTCTTCTCTGCTCAGAAATGCACTTTCCCAGGCTGGACGGCTGACACAACAGGCTTGGTGAGTAATGGGCTCACAATTTCAATTTATTATCAAAATATTTCCATCAGATGACACATCTGGAGAGATAAGGAGACGCAGACTTCCCTTTTGTCACAGCTCCTCGGGCACAGAATCAATGCTGAAAATCCTGCTTAAACCACAATCTTGAGCATCTGTCCAATGGCAATTTTTAATGCAAAGTTCGCGCTTAAAGCTTTTTATCAATATGATTTATAAGTTTAAAAAGTCTTAAATCTTCATCTGTACATCACTTTACAGACCCTGGTTCATAACTATTTATCTTGGTCTGAAACTTCAATATTCAATGATTACCTATAATAACAATTAGTCATAAATGTAGTTAATAATTAAATACAAAAATTATTATTTATACATTACTACAAATCTCTTAAAAAGACCGAGTGTTGAGAAAGAACAAGAAATTGCTTAGAAAAATGCAGGCAGCCTCCGAACCTTAGCCTCAGTCACACCAGGTGCAACAGGGAACAGCGCTGGATACTCATTTCAGCCCTAAGATTGCTTCAGATAAAACGATTGCAGAGTGACTAACTGACACCTGGCCAAATCAGTTTAAAAGCGTGTTAAGTCCCAAGGCCCCAACAGGTATAAGAATTCTTTGGAAGAGTTTTGAAGGAGTGTAACTGTTGCAAATAAAAGTAAAAATCAGGACTTAGGCCGCGTGTTTTTAACTCTCAGGTCACTGCTGTGCTTTTGGTGTCAACCGAATCTTCAGCCTCCTCTTTCTCCTTTTGAACAGAAATCTGGTCTACAGCACGTGGTCAACACCGTTTTCAAGAGACAACCTCAAACTGGCAGATTATAGGAGAAACAGAAATGAACGGTCGTATTGTGTCTGGAGATTGAGCCTTATTTACACGTGAGAAGCGACTGATTTGACGGACATTAGACGCGCTCCTCCCTCACATCTTTCCAGAATAACCGACTTCGAGGTTACAGATGCTCGCCTCTCTGCTGACCACCCCCTGTAAGCACAGTGACCTCTAGGCCCATTTCTCTCGAGTCGAGTTCCCCACTCCTGTGTGTCGGTAAGTCACCCAAGGCTGCACAGCTTCTGCAGGTCACCACACCCGGCATTTCTTTTCTGGGTTCATGTAAGAATTCTTGGGGCAATGGAAGGCTTCTGAAAACTCAGGGGAGTTCTGCAAAGTCCCAATAATCCTGCGAAACAAGCAAACAGAAGTCCCGTCAGCACCTGACGCCACGTCCCCAGCACGAGGGAGCTCTAAGAACTCTGTGTGGGCCGAGTGAGTGAATTTGGAATTTACGGTTTAAAGGGAAAAAAACTGGGTAGAACGAGACTGTTGCTTCTCAGCAACAGAAGTTTAAGCAGAGAAGTAACAAGCTACAGGAGCTGGGAGCACAGGCTTTGAAGACAGACGTGGGAGCCTGGTTGTGAGTTGCATTTATGTAGCCTCTGTGCCTCAGTTTCCTTTTCTACAGAATGTGCATAACAACAGTACCTGCATCTCAAGGTTGTCATGGGGAGTTAACTTATAAACATCCCATACCAGTCTGCAAAATAAATGAGTAATTCATATTTGGAATCACAGTTATTACAAGAAGAGTTTGGTCAAAGAAAACAGTCATGATTTTCCCCTATAGCTGGAAAGGGCTCACACAATAACTTAAATAAAAGACTTTAAATAGACATTTGTCGATTCGATTTAACAGGGAAGATAACGGTTATTTTCTTGTTTTCCAAAAGAACTCCACAGACTTGAGAAGCTGGATTCAGCCTGAACAATGGGAAAGGGCTGGAAAATGGCCAGTTTCACCTTATCTCTGAGGGTCACCCAGTGAGCAAAAACACACCGTCCACCCCATCATCGGCCGCAGGCTGAGGCAGGTCAGGACAGCGAGGCAGAGAAGACATCTCCATCAGTCGGAACAGCTCCTTCCCTTCTCTCTCCTTGGGCCCCTGCCACACCCACCTCGGCTGGGGAGGGGCAGACCACTTTACTGAGCTCTCCATCCAGGCAGAGGCTCCAACGAGCACAGCTCAGCACTTCTCTCCCTGCAACCCTTCTCCACACGGCAGTCAGCATGATCTTCACAATTTAAACCAAATTCCGTAACTCCCTACTTAAAACCTTCCAGGGGTTGCAGGAAATTCAGCCTGCTCTCATGCCCTCCACCGTCCCTGATGGCTCCAGCCTACCTTCCCGGCCTTCTCGCAGAGCATCCTGCCCATGGAGGCCGACCACACGGACCACTTCCCCCGCCTCACACCGTCCTCAGGCCTGCTGCTCCCGCCGGCCCCACTCCCCGCCAAGTTACTCCCCAGCAGCTACACGGGGACCTTCCTCAGCCCTCCTGCCTCCGAGGACACTGGCGGACGGCAGATGGAGCCCCCGGATGGTAGGGTGTCAGCAGTGACCACAGCAGGCTGCAGATGGGGGCCGTTCCCTAATTTCTCCTACAAAGGAGGACACTGGAAACTTCTGAAATTAAATTTAGGTTGGGAGCTTAGTGCTTGAATTAATTTGATTAGAAAAAAAAGAATGATGTGTCCTTTCTTATATCTGAAAATTCGAGAACAAATTCACTTGATACCTGGTCGAAGTGATCATGTTTGTGGAATAAAAAGATTTCAGACATAAGGAATGCCTACTGCTCTTTAGTCTTTTAGGTCCCAGGCTCATGGACTCTCAGTTAGAGCTTGATTCCTTGAGTCCAACTCATTCCCACGTGAGGAGGCCCTGACACTGGCTGAGGGACGGTCACCACGGTGGCCTGACAGTTCCTTACACTGGGGAGCCAGCTCCCGGGGGACAGGGACGGCTCTGAGGCACGACGGGAAGAACTCTCTGCTTATTTTTATCTTACTAAAAGTTTCAAAGGATTGTGTCTGAGATATAATCACACAGGGGCAAGCACTTCAGTAAAAGTGTCCAAACCCGTGCCCTAATTCTACATTTCTTTTAAAAACATTAAAGAAATTTAAAAAACACAACTCAAAACAAGAAAGTCTTCCCCAAACACCACTGGGACCCAGCAACACCCAACTTCACGCACACCCAGCTCTCCATCCGACCCGTCTCCTCTCCCTCCGTCCAGGGGCTTCACGAAAGAGTGTGATTCTGAAGAGTCAGGCCAACAAGGTGGCAGGGCTCCACCCACTCTCCTAGGACTCTAACTAGTGTTTGGTTGTTGAAAACATCAAACCTGTGGATGGGTGACACAAATAATCTATTTCAAAAAGTGGATGAACTATTAATAAAAACGAACTCCTTCTCTGAGTGGGATCATATTTCATTAACCTTACATAGAACACTCATATGAATTTCATGCTATATCATAACTATGTAGTGCTTGTGTTTATAATAACAGAAGATAATAAAGGCTTTATTGATTATTTGTTAAAGTGGTTTACTTGAAACTTTTACTTTATTGTATAAAATATTTTACTGTGCTGTGCGGTTTATTCCCTCATCAAACCATCACTTGTATAACAACATCTAGAGGTTGGGGGCGAGGGGACTTGGAGGAGGGTCGTCAAAAGGTAGAACTTCCAGTTATAAGATAACGGGTCCCGGGGATGTAAGTACAACACGATGGCTGTAGTTAACACTGCCGCGCGATACACAGGAAAGTTGTTAACAGAGAAAATCCCAAGAGTTCTCATCACAAGGAGAAGTTTTTCTCTTTGTTGTACCTACACGAGAAGACGGATGTTAGCTGAACTGACTATGGGAATGATTTCACAATGTCCAACTGTCCTGCTATACTCCTTAAACGTATACAGTGGTGGATGTCAATCATTTCTCAATAAAACTGGAAAACAAAAGCTGTCTCAGAGAGACGGAGTTGAACATCACGTGACCAAGAGTGGACTATATCCTATAACATATCTGACTCCTCCTGCCGCAATTAGCTGGATTTTTGAATCACTGAGGGAACTGTGTACAATTAATGAGCCCTCCAACAACTTTTTCCTACTTCTTTTAAATGACCAACTTGCTTCATTCATGAATAAACTTTCTAATTTTTGCCATTGATTACCGTTCACGATTCTTCATGATTCTTTTAAAGTAAGGTCACATTGATCAGCGTCTGTCCCACTATAAATTCATCAGGAAATAAGTGCCTGAATAGATTCTGAGGTATGGGCTGAAGGTCAGCAACTGTTAACAGGAAGTCTACATGGCTCACCCAAATCCACACCAATGTTTACAAACGTCAGAGACCAATGCTAATATTTAAGGTAAATGGAGAAAACATTAGTATTTCAGAGAGGGTTTAGCTGAATCATGGGATGGTAAGGAACAAAATGTCTACAGAAAACGCTAGAAAGGATGGTCTTTCAAAAGTATTAGAAATCAAGCTGTGGAAAGCATCTCCCACATTATCGTTGTGTTAGTTCCAGGAAGCGCCCTCTTCTCACGGGTGGATCACATTGTGCAACCTAAGCCTCGAAAGTAACACCATACTATTCAGGTAGCACGGACGTTGGCATCATTTTCTCTACTCGGACCTGCTTTAAAAAATCATCAGACCCTCACATATCATTTAGAAACAGCAGATCTGAATAACTTCAGAAACACATCTATAGGTCATATAGTAAATATTATCATAACTATTCCCTGAAGTGACTGGATGGCTAACAAAAACTGGACTTGCAAACAGAAGTCACTTAAATTGCAGATTCAGTTTCTAGAATATCAAGCAGAAATGCTCTTGCTCTAATACTAAAGTTTTAGAAGTTTATTTTAAAGCACATAAGACTTTAGTTAGAAAGAATGAAACAATTACAGCTTAGACCTAACAAATGGTTTACAGATTCCACTTTAAATCAAGTATATTTTGCATTTTGTTTTTAATACTGTGGCTATGTTAGCCTAAGGTCACAAAATCTCCCTCCATTTCAGAAATGTGTCTACATAAACCACTGTGCACAATTTTTTAATAGCATCTCAATGTCTCTTCGTTTTTTCTTTAAAAAATACGCTTTACTTCGTAGAGCCAGGAAGCAGCCTGTTTCCCAAACTAAATGTAACCTCAACCTTTTGCCAAGGAAATCCCTTTACCTCCAGAGAAAATAATAATTTCCTTGACAAGAGGTTGGCACTCCATTTACCCTTTACAAAAACAACAACACACACGTCTATTGTTATGAATGAAAAATAGTCAAAGAGGAATCTTTTGGGCCAGAACAAAGAAAACGAAAGTTACAAATAATTTTATATATTTACAATAAAATATTACATACTTTTACAAGTACAAAATTTTACATATTTATAATAAAATTGTTTTCAGTTTAAATCGGGGATAGAAAAGTTACTTATTTATCTACCTATCAATCACTTAGCCAGTGATTAGTAATTGACATTCTGAACTACACAACAGAAGAAATGAGCAACAGACAGGCCTTGACTGTCAGCTAAGACGGAATGAAGTCCAGATACTTTATTCATAGGGATTCTTATTCTGTTCATGCCTCTCATCCAAAAATCATCCCAGCACTAATTTCAAACACATATATGTAATAGGACCTTCACAGACAGTAACATTAATGCTCCCAGCAACTCTCATGATAATTTAATCCTCATGTTTTTTTAATCAAGAAATTGAGACACAGAGGTCAATAGCTTGTAAATGGCAGAGCCATGGTTGGAACTCAAGTATTTCTTACTTCGAAGTGTGTGTTCATTTTTACCATATGTGTGTAAGGATGTGTTTTCTGAGCTACTCAGAGTGGAGGAATGGGATGGCTAAAGGCAAGCAATGCAGTTAACAGGAAAGAGACAGGAAAGAAACAGGCAGAAAAACCCCAATAAAAAGCCAAAATGAAAAGTAAAAGTGCATCACCGTCGGTGGCTCTTTAGTGCAGGAATAAATACACATTTCCCCCACTCCAGCTTTTGAGGATTTCAGTAAACTAATAAACAGTGAAACCATAACTATTAGTCATAACAATAGTCCGTGTCATCAAAAAGAAAAGGTTAGGTTTTGTTCAGGATACTGTGTTAATATGGGAGGAAGGCAGAAAACGTACTTTAAACACAGAAATTTTAATCCAGTGGTTAAGATAAAAATGTTTATACTCAAGAGACAAATTTTAGCTATCAAAAAATTAATTAATTTGCAGCCCCCATTCTCTGAGGACACCAGACATACCAGGTATTACAATAACATTACTTAAATTCACTTGAGTCTTTATGGATATATGCTTTCGTTCAGGGAGATGTGGAGGGAAGACCTTTGGCAAATTAGATTGTTACAGTAGTTTGTATGAGCTTATAACTGTTCTCTGTTATCCTCAGAATTAGATTCTTGTACCTTAACTTCTGAAGACTTCAGTAAAGAAAAAGACAACTTTAAAAATTAAAACTAAAAGTTACTTGGATAAACCATAGTGGGAATTGATCCAGTGACTTTTGTAGCTCATTACCTAAAACGTAGCCAATTTGGATGTCCTAGCAAGACTAAATTTCCCTGGATTATACACATAATGGGCATACAATAAAAACAGTTGTTGAGCGAATGACTTTTGAAAGAACTGTGAAGGCAAACACTAGATGATGATGATGACAATGATGATACTAGAACAAGCTGAGTAAATTCTTTACTTTTTAAACGTGCTATTTAATTGTTTCATAATTGAATGTGGCTTTTCCCCAGGAGTGAATGATCCGGGCAGTATGTTCACTTCTATTTTAGGAAAGGCTTTTAAAATGTAACCCACTACTTCTCCTCTGTTCTCAAACTGTTTTCTAACCACTCTTCAAATTTTTTAATTTGTTTTTGAGACACTCTTGCCCAAGAAGTGTTGCTGTTAATTAGCAAATGAGTGATGAAGTGTTATAGGGGACAAGGCAGACTTAGGAATTTAGTCCTGAATAGATACATAGGGAGTTAGGATTCAACATTCAAAGGCTGGGTAGAGTGATTCTCTTTCAATCCAACGTTCTCTTAGACTTTCTGATTTGGGAAGGACCTTAGACATCTCCTAACTCAACCTTTTCCTCTGCAGAGCATTTTTCTCCAGCATCCTTGGGAGGTTGTTCAAGAAACTCTCTCCTGGAACTTGGGGATAACTTTATTCCATGTGGGACCACCTCTAATTACTGGAAAGTTTCCCTTTGTGTTGAATGGAAATCTTTCTTTGGAACAGCAACTCATCGGTTCCAGGCCTAAACCTTTCACAGCCTCTTAGGAAATATCTGTTCTAGCTTTAAATAGAGCCACGGCTCCGAGGCGCCATCTTTGTTGCAATCCATCAAGCACCGCGCTTAGGTCACATACATTCTGAGGATAAGAGAGTCAAGGCTTTGCTTGTGTAGACATGATGTTTACCCCGATGTGTTCTGTTCATCCCGTCTGTGATCCTCAAAAGAAAAAAACCCCACTAGATTTCCAAATTTCATAGACGCAGAGTTAGAAAAGGCCAATTTCCAAATTTGGAAGTAATGGAGTCAGTACTAGAGCAAGCTGACTCCTGTTCAAACCCACGCACCTGAAACTGCCTGGACTGTGGACGTCTGTTTTAATGGAGTTGATCGCATACTCTGGCCTGTAGGTCCCACACCACACCTAGGGATGGGACAGAAAAGGAAAGGAGTGTGCTTAGGTTCAATCAAGGATTATTTGTTTGGTCAGACTAGGGGAAAATCAACCTTCTTACTGCAAAAATTAAATTGGAATTCTGCATTCCTCAATCATTTACTCTTCAAATAATGTTCAACCATAGGCAATCAGGAAGATAACTATCATTAATGTGATATGACGGTCTGTTATACACAGTGAAAGTGTCAAGTCAAATTTATTACTAATGTGATCTGACAGTCTGTTACACACAATGTAAGTTGGTCAAATCAACGCTCTGCCACAGTTGCTTAAAACAAAAAACTCAGCACGCAACAGCTAACTTACTATGAAATTATAACTCAAAATGATTTTCACATCTATCAATCAAGAGAGAGACGATACCTGTGCGAAGTTCAAGAAGAACAGTTGTTTGTGATTTAGGTCAATTCCAGGAAGTAATTTTTCTTCACCATTCTTTTTAACATAATTTTGATAGGCCTAGGCAGTTAATGAAATAGAAGCATGATGTTTATAATTTCTAAATTTATATATAAATCTATGCAAGAGACCATGTAACCAAGAAATTAACCTTTTATGTCAGAATCATCATAATAATATATTAGACATGACAACCTATAACTACTTCACGGATTAGAAAGAAAACTAGAATTTATTTACAAATGCTCTGAGAACAACAGGATACTGTTTAACAGATGATAAGAGACTAGCACATGTCAGATGATCAATAAATGTCAGTTGAATGAACAGATGAGGAAACAAGTGAGGAAAAACTCGTCTAAGTTGTTCTACAGACAGACGGGTAAGTCCAGCCAGTTGGAAGAACGGATTGCCAAGGGAGTCTGTAATTGCTCCATGTGGCTTAATTATTACTCTCAGCAAAATAGACTCACACTGAAACAGACTCACACCAGACTTCGTTGAGTGATTCTCGCCCAAAGTCAAGGGATTCGCTTGAGATCCTTTAGAGGCCTAGTATCCTATGATTCTAAGAATAAGAATGAGCAATTATTGTGGCCCCCTGAACACAGGGCAAGATAGACGGAACCTCAGTTACATTAGGAAGAAGGAATTTAAGTTACTTGAATGTCAGAAAATGTTCTTAACTCTAAGGATTTATGGAGACTGTTGAAAAGCGTAGCTTTTTTGTACTAAATATACTTAAGAGATTGACAGTCAACTTTCTGAGATGAATTACTTCCAATTTAACACAAAGGAAAGTGATCAATTAGATAAGCAGAAGGTATATTTCACATCTTAGAACAATTCTGTACTTGTTGTAGGTGAGGATCTCCATGGCAGACCAGCAACCCAGAGTGTGGTCGAGTTTTACAGCACTGATTCTTTATCTGGCTGTGTATTAGAAACTGTGGGAGTATTAAGAGTGCCAATGCCTCCACTTCAGGCAAGAGGGAGTGACAGGGACTGGATTCACCCTCCCACTGAAACAACGAAATGATGGCAAAACATATAAAATGACGGTTTGCAGGACACTGGACGTCAAAGGGCAGCGATCTCTGTGAGATGGGAAACAAATGAGGTGACCCTTTGATTGCCCCAGCTCATGGCCTTGAGCGTTTCCAGGGTACAGCATAGAGAAGGGAAACCCAGTTGGAGTCTAAGTGACTCCTTGAGTCGAGGAGAAGGAGCTAAGAGTTCAGGGACACTCAGGACAGGGTACTGGAGTGAAGAAAGCTGCAGATGGAGGATCTCGAGGTCAGACGGCCCACTCAGGTGTCCAGCTGAGAAGGTGACTGTGCACGTGAGCAAACCACCCACAGCTAGCGGAAGGGCCACCAAAGGGTCAGAGACAAATGCCCGGGCTCCCAGAGGACGGACGTGGAAGTCCTCTGGACTCACACAGTCAGGTCTCGTCTCAGCAGCGGGCAACAACTGTCTCTAGACTACGCACCCCCCAAGTCCTCCCCGTCTGCCTGTAAAAGCAAGATCCAAGAGGATCAGACCACTTCTGAGGGATTTAACCATGTCCTAGAATAAAGACAAGAATACTTACAGGAAAACAAAGATATCCAGCACGCAAAGAGGTAAAATGCACAACATCTGGCGTCTAGTCAAAAAATTCCCAAGCATTCAAAGCAGCAGCCACTCGTTACCCCCAGGACTTGGTGGGGACTCCATTCTCTCAGAAACCCTGCAGCCTGCTTAACATCTCCGGCCTCACACTCTGATCATCACAGTCACTGCCAAGTCCCTGGCCCACAGTCACCCGTCCCGCACTGCTCTGATGCTTCCTCCTTCCTGACCCGACCACCAGGCTCTCCTCCCCTTCACCGAGACATTTCTATGGTGAACGAATAACCCTGTGTCCTCTTCACTCCATGGAACATTCCATCCACTCTTGTCTCGGAAGAGCCTGGTTCTATCCTGGGGACACCTTGCCCCCGTACCCCCTCAAGGAGACTCTGCTCGTTCTCCCACATGTGGGCTACCTGGGGGTCGGAAGGTCTCAAAACTACCTCACTCCTCCTGTTGCTTCCAAGATCAGTATTCCTCCACTCTTGTGAAAATTCCTACTTTTTCTTGTGCACGTGGCATCTACTAGACCAATCCTTTAAACTTTGTTCAAACCATCAAATAATGACATATTTCATGGAAGGTTTGCAGCTGTATCTCCAGCACTGAGACTAGTGCCAGACACACAGTATAGCCTTCCACCAGTGTCTGTTGGATGCAAGAATGAGTGGAAGGGTAAATGAGATTCTCAGGGATGCTCCATTGACTAGCTCCTCTGGGTATAATAGCTTGGAAGCCACAGGGCCATGTGCTGGCACCGTATCACTTCAGTCCCTCACTGGGTCATTGTCACTAGCTGGCCTTTAATATTAGGCCTGATGTTGATGCTCATTATGGTCCCAAATGCTGCTTTACCTGCAGTGGAACTGAGGGTCCTGTTCAGTGTATTGATCAGTGACACTGAAAAAATCCTTCTCATGGGGCATCTTTGCTAAAAATATCTATTTTAGAGATTGTTTCTTTGAAAAACATTGCATCCTCTGCGCGACTTGCGTATCTCCTTTCTGCTGATATAACATCCTGGGCTTCCTCTTCTCCTCGCTTTCTGGGGGCTTGGAAACTGGGGTTCCCCTCAGCCACGATGGTATTGCTTTTCTGGTTAGCATATTTACCACCCTCTTTCTCCCTGTATATTTCCCATTTTCTATTCAATGTCTTTTGCTTACAGTATATGTCTTTCTATACATTATATATAAATTATCTTGTCTTTTGCAAAAGGCTTTAAATGAATGATTAAATATGACATATATACACTCCAACCACTAAAATGGAAAGAAAATATTATTACTCACTCTGTATGCTTGGCCAATACCTCCATTATCTGCAATGTTTTCTCCCAGCGTATTAATTCCATTGAGCTGTTAAAAAAAATAGATGCTTCAAGACCCTTAACTACATTCAGATTGTTAAGAAACCATCGACAATTCACTTAAGATTGAACATATCTAAAACTTCTCAAGAGAATGCTGACGACATACATGCTGTCCACCTGCTAGGTCCCAGGAGAAGTTTCCATACTGGTACACCATGCACTGGGATTGCTCTTTAAAATTATTTGCAGACTGTTGAGTCCACCAGTCAACCAGGTCTCCATCTTTGTTAAAGTTTCTGCCTGTAATATATTTAAGTAAAATGGGAACTCATTCGGTCAAGAATTACAATAAGATCTTTAATTCAAAGTGTAAGGACTGAAATACCACTGTACGGAGAACATAAAACTGGACAGAGATGAAGGAAACGGATCTCCTTCCTCATCCAGAGCTGAGGAAGCCCGGCCTGCGAGGGCCTTCTTGCTGACACGCCTCAGGATTAATCCAGATGGTTCAGCTGCTTGGCTCCTGATATCTCAGCCGAGGCCACCAGATAAACACTCCTGAAATCGCGGCTGGTTTCTGTTGGATGGTTTTCACCTGAGTCATGTCTGTTTAACTGGATGTTTTGAGATTTTAAAAAGGTTGATATTTTTATGCCGGCATTCATTTCATGGCTCCAACCCTTCATGACACGTTGTGGACTCCCAGTTTCCCTCTGCTTCAAGCACAAAGAAAGAGTTGCTTTCCTGCTGGAGTTTTCCTGCTACCCCTCAGATACATCGATCTTCCCCTTCCGGAGCCACAGCCGCATTTATATATGTTAAGTGTTTTGATACTTAATTTTATCATCCTTTTAATAGTTATCTATGATGCAGTGATTAAGAAAAAAGCCGTGAAGACGAGCTACCTGAACTCACATCCTGGTTTCACCAATTCCTAGCTTCGTAACTTTGAGCAAGTTTTTTAGGTGCCTCCACTTCTTTTCCATTTGAAAACAAAAAACAGGGAAGTACTAGGACTTCCCTGTGAAGACTGCGGTGCAGTCAACTGAGTTAACAGGCACCTACTAAGTTCTGAAACACACGCTTCCCATCTCCTTTCCTTGCTCTGGCTCTCTACAGCTGGGTCCACTTAAGGCCTGATTATTTTCTCTCTGTTGTTCTCATTTTCCTTCCACCGTGAACAACCTTTGTCACAGCGTCAACTCTCACCTCTTTATGCCTCTCATGTCTTCACGTCTATTCTTCTCAACTTTCACTGAAACTCTCCATCTGTTTGGCCACTTGGGGCAGCAGATGCTCATTTAAGTGCCTACTGCGTGCGAGGCGCTGAACCAGGCAGTAGGAATAAGTTGCAAAAAGCAGCAGCCCCTGACCATCTGTGGTGTAACAGTCTTACGGGAACCTTCCTTGTTGATTTTCTATCTGATTTTAGGATGTGGACCCTGCCCTCTAAGGGTCTGGGGAGGTAAGATGAACAATTATCAAGCAAGACCAAACACTACCATTGGTATCAACAGACCTCAGAGTGTTTTCTCCAGGTGAGTATTTCCTTCATTCTGTCAGAGGGGAAAGCACACATCATTTACCTCACTACCAGAAATTCCTGATCTTCTCAAGCGACAGTTTAAAGGGAACACTAAACGTGGGGTGACTTTCAGGCCACTAACACACCGATGAATAAACGTGTTTTTGTGTTGACAAATTATAATACCTCTTCATCAGGCTTATTAGGACATTTCTCAGCTAGAGGAGAGTGTCCCTGGGCCTTACCATTGTCATCGAAGCCGTGGGTGATTTCGTGTCCTATGACCATGCCGATGCCCCCGTAGTTCAGCGAGTTGGACTGCTGGGCGCTGAAGAAAGGGGGCTGCAGAATGCCAGCTGGGAAGACTGTGGGGAAGAAGGCGGTTAGGGGACGAGGGCGTTATTCTAGGGGCGGCCGGGGCTCGGCTCTCGCCCGCTATGCTGTTTTCCAGGATGCCCACTTCACTCAACTGTATACAAACATCTGCGACAGAAACGAATGCAGGTCTTTTCCTACTGATAACGACAAAGAGCTCATCTCGGAGCGGCCCCACGATCCACGATTGAGAACCACAATTCACTTGACGGTCTCTACTAAGACTGTTCTCCGCCATGGGGAGTTCAGAGCAGGGAAAACCATCATCTTCATTCAGGAGGGCTTTCTCCCATTGCAAATATTTGGGAGAAATAGTTACATTTATCCATCTGCAACAGCTTGTTAAATAAACAGAGCCACTCGATCGAAGGTGTCCCCAGCCCCGTAACCCTATTCTATCTCCATCGAGACGTTTATAACTGTTTCTTTCTTTCTTTATGGATGTTGTCCTTCGCTTTCTTGTCTGCCGGCCCCGCCCCCAGCGTCTCAAATATCAGCCGTTTGAGGGCAGAGATTTGTGTGTCTGCACATAAATTTGTTTTTGAGTCCATTTGTTTTTTTCAGTTCATTATCTCCAGCACCCAAAACCTGAAACATAACAGGTGCTTAGGAAACGTGATGAATAATTGATGATAAATGAATGAATAATGAATTTACTGTGGTGTACTAAAGACTTTAAATAAAGAAGTAACAATTTCTATATGTCTACCCTGACACGTGCATTAGTGCGTTCACTTTCTACACTCAGATGCCTCACAAACTCCTTAAATCTCAGTGTCAAACACCAGACTCACCATTTTCCACTCTATGCTATCACTCTCTTGACTTTATTATTCCTGCTACAGGCATTTTAAGGGTCTCAGTCACCCAAAGTGAACATTTTCTACTTATCTTACGAAGTCTTGTATAGCTTACTTAGGAAAAGCCCAGGTCGTGCACCTTCCCTCCCGTGTATCCCTGTGTCTGTCTCCTCCACCGGTCTCTCCCACTGCCCCATCCTGGCACACACTCTCCTTTCTTGCCTTGAGAATTACTTCATTTCCTAATTGGTTTTCCCACGTCCTGTCTCACCCAGCTACAGTTTATCCTAAGTCGAACCTATCCTGCAGTCAGATCAAGTGCAGCTCTCGTCAGCGTCACTCGCCTGCTGAAAACGCTTGGATGGCCAGCACTGCTCTCTAACAAATACAGCATCTTCTTCCTGGCCTTCGACCCCGCGGCTTCTCCACCTCCCTCATAATTTCATCTTCCATGTTTTAAAAAACTCTAGTATCCACCAAATAACTGAACCATTATGTTCTGTAGTTGAAAAAAAATCTTTAGTATCAACACCTATTACCTGCAAAGCCCTGGGTCACTGCTGTGTGGGATGCCAAGAATTCAAGAGAAGGGTCCTGGCCTTCAGAAATGTAAGATCCAGTGACCGCAGAGGAGCAGATGCTGTCTCTGTGTCTTTTGGGTGGGGTGAATATGACATAGCCTTGCATGGGTTTCAAGAATAAATATTAGATACTTACATAGGAGACGCTGAAAATACACCAGGCAATTTAAATTCTCTCCAGACCTTTAAAAAATCTGGAAAGTTGCCATAACATTCAAAATGAGAAAATAATAAAAAAATAAATACTTCGTCCTTAAAGACTTTTGATGAAAGTTATACCTCACATGTAGCTGCCTGAGCTATCAACAGTGCCAAGAAATTATTTTTAGCTTAAAGTATAAAAATTATGTGCAGTACTTTATTAACTTAAAGTGAACACTATCTCCCACACTATGTACTTTGATTAAAATCCACCCCATTATATAAAATGCTCTTATGAAATGTGCTATCAAGCCTAAACATTAACTGTAAAGATCCTGCTGCTTTAATTACACCCTGATATGCCATTCTTCAGGCAAGAGATAAGATTTCTATGGCTCATATTAAATACTATCTTCAAGTTCAGCTTTGCAAATTATGATTTCTCCTTCTCCTCTGTCAGCTGAATCTTATGATGAGCATTTTTCCATTTGCCTTATCACTGTTTTAGCAGACTTCACAACTGTTGATAACAACCAGCCACTTAGCTGTGCATTTGTTATGCTCGTGGTTGTCACCAAGTTAGTTAATTAAATAAGTAATTGGCCCATGAAACAAAAGACCCTGTTTCTCCTCACTCACCACCACCTCACTTCCCTGGTTTATTTTTTTAAGGCTGCAAGTGACTCAATTTTAGAATCTTTGCTATAAAACTCAAGATTGCAATCAGGTAAAACCAATTCTTGGTGGAAAAAAATTAAATATTCTTTTTATATTAAATGGAATGGCAATATGTTTGGAAACATTTACTCTTAATTTTCAATTCTGAAAATTAGACTCCTAAGAGTGAGTAAGACAACTTTAGAAAATTTAAGTATCTCCAGGTAGTCATAGACCACCCAGGCTAAATACACCAAATAATCTACAAATTTCCTAAAATTGAAAAAAATTATATTGTTAATGAAAAAAGAAAATGCAGCGGTAATAAGACTTCCCATCTGACTTGATCATTTCCTTCGACAAGACTTCAAGGTTTAATAAGATGACTGAATGGCACCTGGAACTTACAGAGAAACATTTGACGAAATATTCAAACGCAACCTTTCTGCCAGCATGGAAGGTTGTTAGAGCTCCACAGGGCAAATGTGCAAGAAGAGGAACCAGTGACTGAAACACTCTTGGGATGCCTTCCTGTCCTGGAAGCTGACTTATATTGATGTGAAGTGGTGGGGGTGCATAAAAATTGGAATGTAGCCCATATGTGTGAGTTATGACAAAAAGTGTTGGGAATTGAATTAAGAAGTAGAAATTATTAACATGAGTAACTCCCTACATGATAACAAAACAAGTTCTTTTTTACCATAACATAGAAAGACCAATCCCATGAGAAACTGTATGAGATCTAATTTAGGGTATTTGTGTGAGGGTGGGAAGGTCATTTATGAGACACGTGTTCTATACCAGTTCTAATTCTGTAATGCACATGATGCCAACCCCATCAAGACAGTGTTGCAAAAGGTACACATCTGTGTATGTACGCGCACACACACACATTCTTCTAGCAAGAAGAAAACTGGATATCTGGATCTTAAATTATTTTTAGTTAAGACAATCCCCACTTTGAAGATTTAAATGAATTGTCAAAGAGAAAACGTGCACATGTCAAAGACTGTTCTTCTTCATGACATGTTCCCTTTCTCTGAACTGCTGTTATTATCAGACTAGCTTATGAAAAGAGGTTAACAAGTTTTTGGATTTCGTATTTCCATGAGATGAATTTATCTTAAGAATCTTTGAAAGGTCTTTCTTATATGTTAAGAACACTTATTACAGAGAAATCTTGACTATTCAGAGGATAACTGTCTACTTTGAGAAATGTCAGGCTACTTTTACCTGTCGCTGTGTGCCTATTTGGTTTGACGGCATTAAATTCAAAATGAAAACATTCCCACGTCTTCTCTGATCAGGGAATCTCTGAGATGGACCAATTTTGAGCCAACTCCAGGGATGTGGGATAATTCAGAGCCAAACAAGGTCCCGTCTTGACCTAAACTGTTGATCTACTCTAGGGAAGGGCTGAAGAGATGAAAGCCAGGGTGGACCTGCAGAGAGCCTGCCTGGTTCTCCTTGTTGGGGTGAATCAGCACCAGGTCTTAGAAAATCCAGGGTCCTTCCTGAGCCGGATTAAAATGAAGCTCCATCCTTCAGTCTGCCCTAAGGGGGGACCAAAGTCCAGGCTGCCTCGCTGTGCCCTGGGATCCAACCAAAAGTTAACAATCCTGTTCAAGCCCAAATCTAGAATGAACAGATCTCACACCGAGAGAACTACTGGAGGTCAAAAGAGGTCTTCAAAGTGAAGACCCCCCAGAGACAAAGGCAGTTCGAGGAAAGGTCGGTGTGGTTTCTAGGAACACATTCCAAAGGATGGACTGCATGGGGTCTGAGTTGATCATTAAACAGGCTCTGGTCTGAGTTCAGGTAATCATTTCACTGGTTGGGAAATGTATTAGCCAAGACTTTGACCTCCCTGATTTTAACCAAGTGCACAGGCCTTACTTATTATCTATACGTTATAAAAAGACAAATTTTTCTGGGGCTGGCCCCATGGCCCAGTGGTTAAGTTCGCGCGCTCCGCTGCAGGCGGCCCAGTGTTTTGTTGGTTCGAATCCTGGGCGCGGACACGGCACTGCTCATCAAACCATGCTGAGGCAGCGTCCCACATGCCACAACTAGAAGGACCCACAACAAAGAATATACAACTATGTGCCAGGGGGCTTTGGGGAGAAAAACGAAAAAAATAAAATCTTTAAAAAAAAAAAAGACAAATTTTTCTGATTACTTCATACAACCCATGTTCATGTCATGTACTAAAATAAATTCCAGATGGATTAAGGACTTACTCCAAAAATAAAAGCCATAAAAGGGGCCAGTCTGGTGGCATAGTGGTTAAGTTGCGCCCTCCACTTTGGCAGTCCGGGGTTCATGGGTTCAGATCCTGGGCATGGGACTACACACTGCTCATCAAGCCATGCTATGGCGGTGTCCCACATACAAAATAGAGGAAGATTGGCACAGATGTTAGCTCAGGGCCAATCTTCCTCACCAAAAAAACAAAACCCATAAAAATACTAGAAGACAATGTAGATACCTTCTTAAACTAACTCTTCCTAGGCTTAAACACAAAAGGTAAAGTTACAATCAAACTTTAAAATAAAATAAGGGTTAAAATTTATATTAAAGTTTATCTTTTAACCAATGGTAAAAATCTTGCAGGATTTTCATCATTTCTAATCTAATTAGTAACAGAATTCAAGAAAAACCAGGGTTAGGGCCGACTCTGAGATATTTGTTGAGAACACCTCTGGGTGTACTGCATCTTTGGGTGTCTTTCTACATACTGAGAACCCTTGGTAAAAAATGGCCCCATTTACGTGATACTTAAGAGAGAGTTTAAAGATGTCGAGGTCTTCCCAGGAAGAGAAAAAAATATATCTTTGTTATATAAGTCATTTAGTTATGCATTACATCATTCACCCATGAGTTAACTTCCAAGCATATTTCTGTGGTATTACTATTAGAGAACATATGAAATTTTTTTCTTTTTTGATCAAAAGTGGTTAAGTAAATAGAATTTCATATGGTTCAACCTAATATAATAGACTTTTCAACTTTCTGAGCCTCTTGGAGTCTTCTAGAAGAAAAGAGGATCCAGAACAGGACTGCCTCCAGCAGAGTACACAGAACTGCAGGGAGACCGCACAGCTGGCTCTGGGAACCTTGAACCACTTAAGACTCTGACGTTTAGAAAGTCTTAACATCAATACAACTATACAGAGGTATAAGGGACTTCTAAAAAGTATTTAGAAATAAAATACTTAGACATAAGATAAACTATGTGGCTCCAAATGAGAAGACAGTAAAAGAACAATACTCAACGTGATCTGTACTAATTTAAATTCCGCTATTATAGTGAAAAGAGGTAAATGGATGCATTTACTTTCAAGGAGCATATTCAATAAACAAATAACTCAGCCTCAGCTGTGCTTTTATGGCGAGTATTGTAAATTGTCAAGCAATTCACTACACGTTGGGAACAACAGAAAAATATAAAAGAATTATTTAGGAATGGACCTTACCTATCTGATTTCTGCCTGAAGAATAAAATGCATTGACTACAGCTGCACCGCTTATCCACCTGTAGAAAACATAAGAACTCGTTACAAACGGCACTTATCTGATCCAATCTGCCCACCAAAATAAAAGCACCATTAGTATTCCTAGATGACTCTTAACTTTCTGTTTGAAATACTATCAACAAATTCAAATTAGTTCACTGGGGGAGACAGCTCATTTGAAAGTATTTCTACTCCTTGAAAAATCAGAATATATCCAGGTCTGTAATCTGTTATTTCATTTGCATGAATTTTTATGGAGGCATCTGACAGCACAAAATCCATCTGAATGCATCTCTTCGGAAATTGCAATGGATTAAGGTTATATTGAAATGTGTTTAGCTGTATGTTCCTGTACTAGGTAACTATGCCAATAATTCTGGAGTAGTTGACAGAATATTTAAGTACAGGTTGTTAAAACTTCAGATTCAAGTACATTTAAAATTCTTTAAATTCCTAGTTTACAAAGAGGTTTTTTGAGGACTAAGATATCCCTTTGGCATGTAGTTAGCTTTGGGTAATGTGCCTGTGATTATTGCCTTTTAAAATTATTATTAAAAAAATGTGACATTTCAACTAATTGAGCAGAGGTGTCTTTCTGTATGACTGTAAAATGAAGTCCAGGTGGTCTGTGAGTAGATTGGTCTGTCTGTCTGTATATACCATGACCGAGGCTCTGTAAAGAATCTAGAGATTTTATAAAAGACAGTTCCTGACTTCAAAGACTCTAGTGTAGTTAGGAAGAGAAGGATGCATAAATAATTCTGAGACTGAATGAGAAAATGGAAAAAAATGGCTCCCAGACAATAAATCAGGGGCAGGGTTAAGGTAAAGGATGTGTGCCCACTTTCCACGTCTTTCTGCTCAGACGTCATGAAGGCTGCGTGTCAATCACCATTGTTAAGTACTTTGTGCAACAGGAGTAATATTCACATCTTAATAGACCATCACATACATCCTTACATACTCATAGAACGGCCACAGCTTGACTTCAGTTCACCCCAGACGCCAGCACATGAGCATACACTCATGATAACCATGGAACATTATCTAACGGCTTCACTGTAGCTACCCCACTGTCAGGGCAACAATCCGTGAGGCAGTGACGATCCTACTCACCAAAAGGGCAATCAGTACAATGAGGTTAAATCAGAACTGTTTGGAGACCCTGCTTTTCGAGTAGAGCAGTACAATGTCAGTTGCCCAAATCAGCATTTCAGCTACAACGTCAGGAACTATTGTGGGATGTCAGATGAGGGTCCTGTTTTGAGCTCTTAAAAATAACTGAGGGAGGGCCATGTATAACAACTGTCTGATACATCCTAATTAAGTAAGGGTTTTATCTCCAATAACATGACTAAGACATTCATATAAAGGATTTGGGGGCTTTTTAATCCCGATAGCATTTCTATGAATTTTTCTTTAGGAAGAAAAGTTTGTTGACGGGGGCGGGGCGGGGGGGGAGCAGATGAGGGGTGGTTGATCAATGCGTTTCTTCTTCAGTTTCATGTTGTTTTTTAAGTAGAGAAAACCATTTCCAAACAGGGTGGTGCACTGCTACATCAGCCGTCCCGAATTTCATCACAGCTGAGTCATCAATGTTTTAATTCCTTGCAGGTTGATGATTACAAGCATGTAATTTTATTTATTTTAATTAAACTCCAGTTGTTTCCCACATGATTTGTGATGACTCACAACAAAAACACGTATCTGTAAACCCAGGCACGTCAGACTAAAATCGAGAGATCAGAAACTACATAGGACAAGTTGATTTTGTTGGTGTGACCAAAAAGTATCATAAAAGAAGATATTTATATAAAGAAAGATCACGACGACCAGGAGAAAAAGTCATTAGGACTATGTTTATGTATACTGACACAGTTATCATGACTTGGGTTAAGTGTGGTTCTGTGTTGTTTGGCTTGAGGGGCGAAAGGAAAATGGGCTCACATGGCCCCCAGGAGAAACACGGTTCCCTGTGGTGACTCAGGCATTTCTGATGCGTCCTCAACATTCTGATAGCAAATGGGGCAGCAGATTTTATATGCAAAAAGCTTATAATTGTTAAAATTGTAATTGTTATAAAAGTTAATTTGACATGTTTCCAGGTCTCAGTCGTTTTAAGGTTCAGTTTCTCAATTATGAACTTCTGACTCCGTGATCACATCCTCTGCACGGACCTTTCTGGGTGATCACATATAACATCAAATCACCAAATCCTTTGGTTCGGGACTCAGGCACAATGCTAACACTGAAATGCAAAAGGTGCCAATCCAAAATGTTTTCTTTAACAAGTGTAATATGGAGGAAAGGAACTAGACGTATGAAATTAATGTTTCAGACAGCAACAGATCTCAACAGCGCGAGGCAGGCAGATGAGGTTGACAGCGCCCAGCTCCTGTTTATTGGTTTTGTAAGAATATATGTCATACCTTTTGTTTTAGTGCTTTCCTGCTCTTCTGGACATGGCTTTGAGGGGTGTGAGATTGCATTTTGATTAAGGTTTGTAACTTTCCAGCACGGAGGGTTTTACACGTTAAAATGTCCACAGTGAATTATACCTTCAAGAAAATAGGAAGCTATTTATGACCAAAGGACACTCAAATGAACTCCAAATTGTGGCGATTAGGCTCACAGAGCAGTGTCTGCCTTATCTCCCCCGAGATCTTTCACGGTGCGTCCCCAGACCGCCCGTCCCTGGTAACCACCCAGATTCAAAAGCACAGGGCACTCTGCCCCTGGGGATGACTGGAACCTCAAGTACTGCAATTTACTGTGACCCAAATGTGACTGGACCATTGCACCCTAAGTAAAGCGAGGAGAACAGCTCCAGGCTCAAGGTCTAGTATTTGTGGTCAATCACGAACTCTCTCTCTATGTTAATGTAAAAGCTAAATTAATAAGGCAAAGAAAATACTTCTCAGATTAAATGGTGATGTAACAAAACCCATAAGTTCTTTTGATGTGGAAGCACCTCAACGTTTCAGGAGAAGCTTCCATTTATGGAACACGGCCAAATTTGACTCTGAATAGAAGCATAGAAAAGAGAAAACGCACAAGAGAAGAGCAGACCAAATGGTGGTGATTCTTGCCCTGAAACAACGGGACCCGAAGCCGCCTCTGGAGCATGGAGGCCAGGCACCCGCGCCTCCCAGAGCAGGGCTGGACCCGACAGGGGCCCCGAATGCCACCTGTCCTTTGGCTGCTCTTCCTGCCTCCGGGGCTCTGTGTGCGTAGGTGTTTGGGTGTGTGTGGCGTGAAGATGGGAGAGTGAGAAGCAAGAAAACTTTGCTTTTAATTTCTGAGATATAGTTTTGTCAGGTAAACTCATTCTTGTCTGGGGGCATGAAGGGCCGGCATAGGCAGCGGGGCCCTCCACGCTGGACTGACAATGGGACGGGGGATAAACTGAAGGACCCTGGAGAGGGGACCAGGGGCTCCTCTTCTCTCTCTATTACCCTGAAGGAACCTGACTGGCAATGAGGTGGAAGCACACGGACATCATTTCATGGCAGGGAAGGAAAGCAGCAGTCTGACCCTAGAGCCTTTGGGATCTAACACACCCACCGGATTGCAAAAGCACCTGAACTAAAAGTTCTCCTTCCCTCACTCGTGTGTGCCTTTAAAACCCAAAACAACAAAATCGTTAACACCCCTTTCCCTGCAAGCGTTCAACTTCTCAGCACCTAGCGGTCTCGAGGGAACTCCTTTGAAGTCAGCAGCACGATGCAACGGTTTTCTCTGTCTTCCTCAAGTACTCCTGGAAACGAGGATTCTCATTTTATAACTGAAATAACCACTGGCATTCTTTACATTTATTAACATTCTGTCATCAAAACTTCAAAGTTTTCTACAGATCCTCAGTATTTTCAAACCATCCACATAAGACAGACGGCACCTCCAATTTTCAGGTGGGAAAACTGAGGCACAGCATAGTTATCAAACTCTTTTTCCTAAAACACTTATAAACTAAGTGATACAACTGGGAACAGAGCACGCAAGCCAACAACACAGAGGACCGTCTCATCTTCCAATCAAACCCCTGCTTCTCAGCTGTCGATCTGCATCCCACACAAAACTCATTACGATGATGAACGCTGTGTCCTTGCAAATCACTCTTTAAAAATGGAAGTGCTCCCTTTTAAAGTGCTTCACACTTAGGGTGCCCTGTCACCCTAACAAGCTTCAGGATGGTGGCCTCCACACCACCCCAAAGGCCCACCACGACCAGACCGTAACAACAACAGCATCTACTTTTTAATGAGAACCTAAGTTGTGTGGTGGGCACACTTCACAACACACAACACGACGACCCCACAAGGCAGAAGCAGATGTCCTTATCCTCAGTTTATAAAGGAATCATGGAGGCTCAGAGGCATTATACAGGTTGTCTAAGTTCACACAGCTAACAAGCGTCAGAGCAGGAATCTTAACTCAGAGCTGCCCACTCCCCTACCCCCACCTCCCACCATCCTGCCTCCCTCTAGACTCTGTAACGCAAGCTCTTTCCGCTGTTCCATAAGCCGTGATTTTTCACCCAAAGACAAAAGCACAGTGGGACCAAAGAGCCTCACTAGAGCGTTCGCTGTTGCCCGAGAGTCGCTAACATAACTGAACTGTTCTGGGCGACCCACCTGACCGTCTGAAGGTGGAGCCAGGATGCCCGTTCTGACATTCAGCCGGGAAAACCCACTTCTCTTTCCACAAAGGCAGGAGAAACCACACTCCGACCTCCTTCCAGGAGGCGCAGGTGGTTGTTTGTGGCTGTCAGTTTGGCAGTAAGGCACCGTCTTTTTAGTCAATAACTTTATACGTGTGCACATGCACGTATGTGTGCCCTCACGTGCGTAACGTGCCAAATTCAGGGAAAGTACCAACGTGGAGCTACTGTGTAGGGGGATCACTCTGTCAGAACTTCCTTTGGTGACTTTTCTCCTGATTTAGGATAATCTTGGGACCTTTCGAGAAAGAGCTAAAACCTCTTCCACCCCCTATAACCCTTGGCAACGATGTAACTTCCCAT